GTGAAATACTTTGCGAGGAAACTCGCCTTACAGTCTGGTGTTTGACCAGACTGTACGCACTGTTTTCTTTTCTTTGCAAACAGTCGTGCGCGCGATCTTTGCGTGCGACTATGCTCTCCGTCTCCTCCCCTCCCGACTTTAAGGGTAGCTCTTTGGGAGATGTTACAGTATCGGGAGCATAGCTCGCGCGCCGCTGCCTTGGGCTCAAGGCACGCGCGCCCGATTTGCCCGGACACCGCGAGTGTTCGCTATGCGTTGGAAAGATCATTACATCGATCTTATCCTATCTTACCCATCCACCCCTCGTACTGTACCTTCACAGCAGAGCGATGGATGCAATTTGCCAGGCTATATGCCCTATTTGAGTTACCAGGCTCACTTTCGACTATAGCAACATCAAGCGATGTTGATATAGCAACATCAAGCGAAGCGATCACACTTTTTCAGGATGTGTCAAGCGAAACCAATAATACATTAAAATTGATAGATTTGGAACTTTCCATTTGTCTGTTCTTCTTCTCTTATTCTTATTATATTCTTCTTCTCTTCTTATTATTCGTCTACTTTCCTCTTCTTATTTTATATTTATATCTGTCCTCGCGCTCGCCTGAACTTTTTTATCCGCGGGGTTGATTATCCATGGAAAATGAAGCACATGAGCTACCCTACACGAGCACTTTTTTTTTTAAAAAAAAATATCATAAAGCGCTTGTAAATTAAAATTGATAGATTTGGAACTTTGGATTTTTCCTTTCTTCGTCCTCTTATTATTATCCTGTTCTTCTTTCTTATGATTATTCTACTGTATTCTTCTTATTTTATATTTCTCTCTGTCCCCACGCTCGCCTGAACTTTTTTATTTCTGGGGTTGATTATCCATGGAAATTGAGGCACATGAGCTGCCCTACACGAGCACTTGCAAAAAAAACAAATTTCATAAAGCGCTTGTAAATAAAATCTAATAGATTTGAAACTCGAGATTTTTTCTTCTTCTCCTCCTTCTCCTCCTCCTATCATTTCTTTTATTGTATTTTTTTGTTCTTTTTTATTGTTCTTTTTTATAGTTTCAGGCGAAATCAGCAATGTTTTGAGGACATTACAAGCGAAACACACAATTATTTCGAGGATGTCTCAAGCGAAATAAACAATAGTTTGACGGTGTCTCAAGCGAAATAAGCAATAGTTTCAAGATGTCTCAAGCGAAATACGCAATAGTTTCAGGATGTTCCAGGCGAAATCAGCAATAATTTGAGGACGTTACAAGCGAACACCACAATGATTTCGAGGATGTCTCAAGCGAAATAAGCAATAGTTTGACTGTGTCTCAAGCGAAATAAGCAATAGTTTGCGGATGTCTCAAGCGAAACAAGGGATTTGTCGAGGATGTCTCCAGCGAGATAAGCCATTGTTGAGGATATTTCTATCAAAACTAAACGCCAAGGATGTCTCAAAACGTGCTCGGCTTGGTCTCCTCTTGATCATCTCTTACTTCGAGATTATGCCGAGGTCTGCTGGGCTACTTTTATTATCTCTCCCTGAACCCCGAACTTTATTATCCCCTAGTGTTTATTCTCACGGGCATGTAGTTAGTGAGTAGTGCGCAGTAAGTAGAGAGTAGTGAGTAGTGAGTAGAGAGTAGCGGGTAGCGAATAGGGAGTAGCGAGCAGGGAGTAGCGAGTAGTGAGTAATGGGTAGCGAGCAGGGCCTTGTGAGTAGTGAGTATTGAGGAGGGAGTAGTCAGGAGTCAGTAGTGAGTAGTGGGTAGGGAGTAGTGCGTCTCGAGTAGGGGTCAGCGAGTAGTGAGGAGTGAGTAGTGAGTAGAGAGTAGTGAGTAGAAAGTAGTGAGTAGTGTGATGAGGGAAGTGGGTATTGAGTAGTGGGTAGTGAGTAGGAGGTTGCGAGTAGAAATTAATGAGTCGTGAGTGATGAGTAGTGAGTAGTGAGTAGCGACTAGCGGCTAGTGACTAGTGAGTAGGGAGTAGGGAGTAGTGAGTAGCGAGTAGTGCGTAGTGGGTAGTGAATATTTCGTTTTAGGTGGCGAGTAGCGGATAGTGAGAAGTGAGTTGTGGTCAGTGCGTAGTGAGTAGTGAACTGTGAGTACTCAGTAGTAAATAGTGGATAGTGGTTAGTGGGTACTGAGTAGTGGACAGTGAGTAGTGTTTAGTGAGTCGTGAGTATGGAGTACTGTGTAGTGAGTCGTGAGTAATGAGTAGTGCGTTGGGAGTAGTGAGTAGAGAGTAGGAAGTACTGAGTATTGAGTAGTGGGAGCGTAGTGAGTAGTGGGTAGTGAATAAATAGTGCGTATCGGGTAGCGAGTAGGGCGTTGGGATTAACGAGTAGTGAGTAGCGAGTACTGTGTAGGGAGCAAGGAGTAGCGAGTCGTGAGTAGTGGGTAGTGAGTAGTGAGTTGTGGGCAGTGAGTAGTGAGTAGTGAAGTGTGAGTAGTGGGAAGTGGTTAGTGGGTAGTGAGTAGTGATGTGCGATTAGTGAATAGTTGTTTGTGAGTTGTGTTTGGTGAGTACTGAGTATTGATGAGTAATGGGTAGTGAGTATTGAGTAATTTGTAGTGAGTAGTGAGTAGGGAGTAGTGAGTAGTGGGTAGTGGGTAGTGAGTCGTGGGTAGTGAGTAGCGAGTCGTGAGTAGTGATTAGTGAGTAGTGAGAAGTGAGTAGTGAGCAGCGAGTAGTGAACTGTGGGTTGTGAGTAGTGCGCAATGAGTAGTGAGTGCTGTTTGTGGCTAGGGTTTGGGTTTGGGGTTCGGGTTGGGGGTTAGGTTAAGGCTGACGATTAGTGTTAGGGGTGGTCGTGGTCGGGTTCCGGAGGCCGGGGGCGCCGTGGCGAAAGGGGGGGTGTGTTCGAATTTGGCGGCCAAAGGGGGGGAGGGGGGGGGGTCGGACCCCCCCCCTTTTGAAAGGGGGAGAGGGGGGGGGGGGGTCTCGTCGACGGACCGGGAAAGGGGGAGAGGGGGGGGGTTCCCCGACGACGGATCGGGAAGAAAGGGGGGGGGGGTCCCCGACGACGGATCGGAAAACTGGGGGGCGGGGGTTCCCCCCCCCCCCTTTGGGGTCATCCAGCGGCGCGCCCTCCTTATGAATGGCACAGCTGTTCAGATTGGTTTGCCCGTAGAGTCATGGGTCATGGGCTTCCAGCTTCGGCTTCAATATGGGTGTCCGAGGGCCTTGCGCTCCCACAGCACATCATTATGATCTAGTCGCGCTGTACCCTCGGAGGTCCGCGCGGATCTTTTTGTACTGTGGAGACCCATGCCAAGAAACAGCCTGCCTGCCTCCAGGGTGCGCTGGGCTTCTTGGGTTTCGATGGTTTTGCCATGGACAGCGTGGCGCTCCCACACCGACAGAAATCGGTGGACCTCCGGGGGCTCAGAGTTGGGTCTCTTGTAGAAGGTGTCTTGTGGTCGAGCTCCTGTTGATGGCGATGCCGATGACGATGGCGGAAACGCGTATGATCATGATGTTGAGGATGATGGTGGTGTCGATGCTGACGAGGCTGCTGATGATGATGTGGATGCTGCTGCTGCTGATGTTGCTGCTGATGATGAGGAGGAGGAGGAGGAGGACGAGGACGAGGACGAGGACGAGGATCTCTCTCTCTCTCTCTCCGGCCGGCGCGGCCACCCCTCGGCGCGCCTCGCGCGACAGGGGAGGGGGGCGGCACCGACCGAAAGAGATCCGCGGGATCCTTCGAAGGTGCCTGCCTGTGCCGCTCTGCTTTCGGCATGCCCTCTGAAACCCACCCGCATTGTCAGGATGGGAACCTTCACAAGGGTACCCTTGCATCCTTTCCTCCTCGGTCCATCCTTTGCCACTTTCGTGGGCCGCGGCCCGCTCGAGGAGCTTCGCAACGGCCTTCCTCGAAGAAGGAGAAGAAGAAAAACAAACGCTATGAACATAAACTTTAGGGCGCTCCGCGCGGTTTTCTTGGGTCTGCGCCGGGTCTCCCCAGCGGCGCCTCTGGCGCCGCCCCTGGCGGGCTCCGCGCAACAGGGAGAGGGTCGAGCGCAGATCCAATTCGCGCGGAGCGCCAACAGTTTCCATTTATGTCGTTATGCTTCTCCTGATACTTCCAAGGCCCTTGCATCCTTGTCGGGCATCCTTGTCATGCGGGTCGACGGTGCACGTCTCGAGTAGAGCTCTCCACGTGCTGCCCCGGTGGAGGGCGCCCTCCCGGCGTCTCTTCGCAAACTTGGCGCGCTCCTCACACGATCCGTGCCCCAGTGAGGGCACGCCTGCACTCGAAGTAAAAACGCCATAAACGTGAACTGTTGGGCGCTCCGCGCGGATTTCTTGGATCCGCGCCGGGGCCCCCCCAGCGGCGCCTCCGGCGCCGCCCCTGGCGAGCTCGCGCCAGGGAGGGGGTGTCCAGCGCGGATCCAGGAAATCCTCGCCAACAGTTTATGTTTGTGGCGTTTTCTTTCTAATGTCGATACATCCATTGCATATTCTTTCTCACCCATATGGTTCCCGGGCTGCCATTACGTACATCGGTTGGAGACACATGGTTTGCATTGCTTGGGTAATTCACCTTCACATGTTTTTGCCGTAGGTTCTCTTCTTCGTTCCTCTTCCACTCCTCGTTCGCCGTTGTTGGTCGCAGCTGGAGCTCCCCTTGGGACACTAGGATGCGGGTCAAGAGGCACTGTGGCAGTCCTTCTTGGGCACGATCAGTGTGTCCGTAGTTGTTTACTTGTTGTCTTTCGGGGAGCGTTCGTCCATAGTTGTCTTGGATTTCCAGGGGGCTTGCCTGGATGATACGCGTGTGATCTTGATGATGTTCCATGCTCTTGCGCAGGCTCTTCAGTATCGCCCGATTCCCGTTCATGCTAAGAAGTGATTGCGCCGGTTTCGGCAACCCAGAGACCCTGGGCCCTCAGAGCATCAGACACTTGCCCGGGATGAAAGGCTGGGCTCTGGGGGAGCGCCCCAGCACCCCAGGGTTGAGGGCCCCTTGTTGCCAGGAGTTGTGTCCAGTGTCATGCCAAG